ATGTGCACTGACCACCAGGGGACAGATGCTCAACACAGGAGCTGTCCCATGGTGGCCAGTGCACTCCCACAGTGGTTGCACCACTCAGACAGAAGATGGGCTCACTGCTGGCAAGTGCAGAGGTGGTGGCAGAAGTCAGCAGTTAGATATCCCCCATGGGCTCCCATACTGCAACAGGGTGCAGGCCAGGGTGAGGGACCCTCCGAATGCACGAATTTCTTGCACTCGGCCTCTAGTTTACAAATAAATGCCTCCTTGAAACTCCCACCCAGGTAAAAATATAAAGCATTACTTGAATCCCAGTAATGTTTCTACTTCTAGTTACCCCAGATTAACTACTACTCTAACTTATATCACCAAGCAAAGTTTAGTCTGTTTCTTAGCTTCATATAACACAACTTCATGTACTCTTTTCTGAGTTCTTTGCTCAATGTTTTGTTTGTGACAGTCATCCTTGTTGCAAGCAGAAGCCCATTCCCTTCATTGCTCTACAAAATATTTTTCAGCCTTAGCACTCTTGACATTTTGGGCTTGAAAATTCTTTTTTTGTGGGAGCTGTCTTGGGCATTGTAGGATGTTTAACAGGCAGTCCTGACTTCTAAACACTAGGTGCCATAGCACCTGTTCTGCTAAACAACCCAGTTGTGACAACCAGATATGTTTCCAGTCATTGCTAAATGCTAGCTGGGGCCAAATCACCACCTTTAGGAGCTATCAAGCTTGAATAATTAAAACCATCTCTATAAAATCACATCCCAATCTCACAATAAGTATTCCAGAGTCTAAACAGAAAAGTATGGAAGAAGGTGCCACTTAGCAATGCCTAAGGTAGATGTCTTCTTTATCTCAAAATATATTTAACTTGCCTGACACTGTGGAGAAGATAAAAGCAACATAATTGAAACTACTGACTCGTACTCACTCTGGTCTCAGGTTTTTGTCGTTGTTGTTGCTTTATAAATGAGTAAGGAAGTGTGTGCTACTTTATTAAATTTTTAATGTTTTTTATTTTTTATTCAGAATGATACTAAGTAAATAACTTAACCCAGAATGAAACCCAAATCCGCAATATTAATACAAAGCAAATGTGAGCACACTCTCTAAAGTTCCTTGGTTTTGCATAATACAATTCTCACTTAGAGATAAGGGCTTTGTTTGAGTGACAAAACCATCAAAGACAAACCTAACATAGATGGTGATGGTGATGATAACAATAGTGATGATGGTGATGATAATGACAACAATGATGACAGGAACAAGTATAGTATTAACCAGAACTCACCTTCATCAGTTCATGTTTTGTTTATTGTTAATGAATTTTGATAATTTTCACAAGGTTACAATGCAGGAAAAAATACTCAAATGTAGTCCTGACTGACATAAAATGGGTACTTTTTAAAAAAATCTTTATTGCTGAAAGTATTATGTATATCCTCCCTCAACCCCCCATTGACTGACCCTTCTAACCTGCCTGCAGGCCAGGCTTTACCATCTATTGTCTGTGTCCATGGGTTATGCATATATGCATACAAACTCTTTGGTTGATCTCTTCTCCCCGGCCCCCAATCCCTATCTTCCCTCTGAGAGGGTACTTTTGAACATGACCGCATTTAATCACTCAATAAATATGCACTGACCACTGACCATGGCTGCGCTTTGGGGAAGGCATTGGGAAGGCATTGAGGATTCTATGATCAGCACAACAGCTATGGTCCCTGTGCTCATGCATTATTTTTATCTCAGAAAGAAGACATTAAAACAAGTAATACAAACAAATATTTGAATGCCTAATAGGCATTGTAAAAGAAGCATACAGAGGGCTATGAGTAAGTGTAGAAAGGAGACTGCATTTGGATTATTCCGTCAGCAATCCTTCTCAGGAAAAATGAGAGGTAAGATGCATTTCTGGCGAACACGGGGAAAAATGAGGGAAGAGTTTCAGACAGAGGAGAGCTTGTGTACAAAAGTCGCGATTGGTGAAGAGGTGGGTGTGCTTGGTGTCTGAATGAAGGTCCATATGCTGAAGCTGAGATAACATGTGATGAGGAGAGGGACACGCCGAAGCCTGATTGTGTAGCAACTTGCAGCCATGGTATTGAGAATGAAAGCTTCTAAGGCTTTAGGACTTCGGGTAGAAAAAGTGACAGAACAACTTGTTTTAATAAACTCATAGGGACTACTGTGTGAACATCTATTAGAACTGCCCAAACTGGCCATGCCTTCAGACCTAAAAATAGGCAAACTATCAGTTTCTTAAAATTACCAGCCTGTTTGTTAAAGATTCAAAATGCTAAAAAATAAATAAATAAATAAACGAAACAAACAAACGAATGAATAAAATACTGAGTGTCATATATTTGCTCTAGAAAACGAAAATGAGAGGTTCTGGAACCCTTAAATACAATGTTTTCCCTCTTCTCTTCAAATTTCACACCATGACAGTCATTGTCCCTTACCCCAGCTTTAGTAAAATATAATTGACATATATATATAACACATATGAGTTTAAGCTGAACAGTAAGTAGGTTTTAAAATGATCTAATCTAAAGGCTTTCCAGCCAGAAAAACAATCTCTTAGTTTATTCGAGACCACTGGAAATTGCATTTCATGGGAACAATTCATACTGAAACTGAAAGCAGTGAAGAGCTGCTTTTATCACAGGCTCATTTGCAAAAAATCAGCTGCCTTTCTGTAGGAACAATCCTTGAGCCTGGTTTTGACGATATAAATCCATGTCAGAGTGGGTAAAAGTGTTCAGACAATTAAAGCGCTCTCCCCAATGTGCTTTGCACACTCTCTGTGGACTCCACATTCTTCCACTGGGGTCCACTTGTATTTCATGGGCCAAAAAATTCATGGAATGTGCAACTGCTGCTTGTTTGGGAACTTGACTAAAACTCCAGAAAGCTGCAGGGAATTTAATTTACACTGCATGCACCTGTTTTCCTGAGGTACAGTTTACTGTAGAGTTTCCAAAACAAAAGTGTCTGGGCACTACTTGCACTCTTAGAGTTGTTCACACACAGCCTCCTTCTTTCTTATAGCAGAATAGATATTGGGATACCAAATTATAAAAAAGATGAAAGGAAGGTTTATTATTTTAACATTTGACCTCGAGTTACCTTTTAAAAATTAGTTTGGGAGAAAGAGGAAGGGAGA